ACCTTTTTTTTTTTTCCCGATCAGCAGTTATTCAGTGGAAGGCCTACAGTGTGTTAGGACACGACAGTGAATAAAATAGACATGGAATTTGCATTCTAGCCAGGAAAGATAGATAATAAACCTGAGTAGAATCCCAGCGATTTCCCTTCTAAGTATATGCTCAACAGAAATTCATATATGTGCACCAAAAAGACACCTACATAATGTTCAGGGCAGTGGTATTTGTAATAGCCCCGAAAGTCCATCAGCAATTGAATGAGATAAACAAATTGTTGCGTGTTCACACAATGGCATACTACACCACACTGAAAAAGAATGGACGAATGCTATTACCCAACAAGAAAGAATCGCACAAGCATAATACTGAATGTGGAGGGACAGGTACAAAAGACGTCATACTGGATGATTCCATTAATATAAAATGTAAGAACAAGAAAAAAATCTATAACGTTAAGACTTAAGATAATGGTTACCGTTAGGGGGCAGTGGATGGTAACTGGGAAGGATCGCAGGGACCTTCTAGGGGGATGGTAATGTTCCGTTTCTTGATTTAGATGCTGATTACACACATGGGTTCACTTTGTGAAAACTGACCAAGCTGTGCATTTATGATTATTGCACTTTTCTTTATTTAAGATATACTTCATTAAAAACGTACTTTACGGGGCGCCTGGGTGGCTCAGTCGTTGGGCGTCTGCCTTCGGCTCAGGTCATGGTCCCAGGGTCCTGGGATCGAGCCCCGCGTCGGGCTCCCTGCTCCGCGGGAAGCATGCTTCTTCTTCTCTCACTCCCCCTGCTTGTGTTCCCTCTCTCGCTGTCTCTCTCTCTCTCTCTGTCAAATAAATAAATAAAATCTTTTTAAAAAATGTACTTTACATTAAATTTACATTAAAATACATGGGAATGTCAGAAGGAGAAGAAAGGGGAAAAGGAACAGAAGAAATATTTCAAGTGGTAATGACTGAGAATTTCCCCAGGTAATACCAGACACCAAACCACAGAACCAGGAAGCCCAGAGAACACCAAGCAGGGTAAGTGCCCCAAAATGATACCTAGGCATGTTGTATTCAAACTACAGAAAACCAAAGATAAAGAAAAAATTTTGAAAGAAGCCTGAGTGGGAGAAAGAAACTTTCTTTATAAAAGAGCAAAGAATTACATTGCATTTCTCTTCAGAGATCATGCAAGCAAGAAGAAAGTGGATTGAAATATTTAAAGTGTTGAGAGAAAAAAACTATCAACTTGGAATTCTGTATCTAATAAAATTATCTTTCAAAAGTGCTACGAAATAAAGATCTTGTATGTACAGGAACCTGCGGAATCCACTAAAAAAGTCTTAGAAGTAATCAACAAGGGCGCCTGGGTGACTCGGTTGGTTAAGTGACTGACTTCAGCTCAGGTCATGATCCTGGAGTCCCTGGATCGGGTCCCTGCTCAGCAGGGAGTCTGCTTCTCCCTCTGACCCTCCCCCGTCTCATGTGCTCTCTCTCTCAAATAAATAAATAAATAAATAAATAAAATCTTTAAAAAAAAAGAAATAATAAACAAGTTCATGAAGGTTCAGAGCACAAGGTCAATGTACTAGAAAAAAATCAATTTTATTTTTATACAATACCAATGAACAATCTGAAAATAACTCCATTTCAGTGGTATAAAAAAGAATAAAATATTTAAGAATATAACAAAAAGTGCAGCATTTATACATTGAAAACTCCAAAACATCACTGAAAGAAATTAAAGAAGACCTAAGTAAATGGAAAGACATTCCATGTTCATAGATTAAAAGACTTACATTGTTAAAATGGCAATACTTACCAAATTGATCTGTAGATTCAACATAATCTATTAAGTTTCCAGCTGCCCTTTGGTGGAAGTTTACAAGGTCCTTCCAAAACTTCAGTGGAAATGCAAGGGTATCAGAGTAGCCACAACAATCTTGAAAAAGCAGAAAAAGGATGGAGACCTCAAACTATATGACTTCAAAACTTACCACCAACCTATAGCAATCAAGATAGTACAGTACTGGCATTAGGTTAGTCATTTAGACCAATGGAATTGAATTGAGTCTAGGATTCAACAGTCACATTCACGATCAATTGATTTTTGACAAGGGTGCCACAGTAGTTCAGTGGAGGAAAGAATAGGCTTTTCAGCAAATGGTGATGGGACAGCAGGATATTCATAAACAGAAAAATGAGGCTGGATCTTTATACCATATACAAAAATAATTCAAAATATATCATAGATCTACATGTAAAAGCTAAAACTATAAAATTCTGATAAAAAATAAGTCTTCATGACCTTGGGTTAGGAAATGGTTTGTTAGATATGTACCAAAAGTACAATGAAAGAAACAAACAAACAAACAAAAAGAAAAATACATAAATTGGGTTTGATCTAAATTAAAAACTTTTGAGCTTCAAAGAACACGCTCCAGAAATTAAAAAGACAACCCACAGAATGGGAGAAAAAATTATGCATGTTGTATTTCTGAAAAGTGACTTGTATTTAGGATTTAGAAAGAACCCTTGCAACTTAATAATGAAAAGACAAATAAAATGGGCAAAGATTTGAATGGACATTTCTCCAAAGAAGACATTCAAATGGTCAATAAGCACATGGAAAGAGGGGCATCATTAGTTATCAAGGAAGTGTAAATCCAAACCATCATGAGATGCTATTTTACAGCAGTAGGAGGGCTGTAGTCAAAAGACAAGAAAACAAGAGTCGGGGAGGATGTGGAGGAATTGTGAACCTCATATATTGCTGATGAGAATATAAAATTGCTGGTGGTGTGGCCACTGTAGAAAACAGCTCAGCAGTTCCTCAAAATGTTAAACATTAGAGTGACTGAATGACCCGGCAATTCCACTTGTAGGCATATTAGACCCAAGAGATATGAAACGTGTTCACACAAAAACCTACACAGCAGCAATACTCATAATGGCCAAGAAGTAGAAACAACCCAAATGTCTGTCAACTGACAAATGTATAAAAATGTGGCATATCCACACAATGGAATATTACTCAGCCATTAAAAGTAAAGAATTGCTGGTATATGCCACAATAGGGTTGAAGCTTGAAAACATTACTCTAAGTGATAGAAATCACTCAAAAAAGGCCACATATTGCATCCTTCAATTTATATGAAATGTCTCAAATAGGCAAGAGAGACAGAAAGTTGATTGGTGTTTGCCTAGGGCTGGGATGTTGAAGAGGAGGGGGTGGGGGGTGAATGGGAGTGACTGCTATGATTATAGAATTTCTTTTTGGGGTGATGAAAATGTTTTGATTGTGGTTGTGGTCTATGTATAATAATAAAAACCATTTAAGTTTACATTTAAATTGGTGAATTGTATGTGTGATTATATCTCAATAAGACAGGGTATATGTATATACATAATATATGTATCATATATACAGTGTATTAGATGGTGATAAGTACTATGGAGAAATGCGAAATACGGAGAAGAGATAAGACTGGGGCTAAAAGTTGAAATTTTAAGTAGAGAGATCATTGTAGGGCTCATTGAGAAGGTGATGTGTGAACAAAGACATTCTGAAAGGGGTGAGGGAGTCAGGTGGATATGTAGGGGGAGAGCTTTCCAGGGCCTGGGTTTGGATCTGGGCTTTGTCACTGCCCATATATCTGACCTTGGACAAGTTACATAATGGCTCTGAGCCTGGGTTTCTTATCTGTAAAATAGTTGTTCCTATTTTCTAGTAAAATGACTAATAGTACCTATTTCAGAAGGCTATTATATGGATTAAATTAATAATAAAAAAGAAAGTAAAGCACTTAGAACAGTACACTGACACTAAGTCAAATGCTTTATAGTTGTTTTTATTAGCTCCTACTGCAAGTGCAAAAGCCCTTGCCTTCTAAGATGGAGCGGTGCCCAGAATGTCTGTTGAATCAAGAAGGCCAAGCGGAGCTGGTACAGAATAATGAGCAAGAGGGAAGATTGTAGGAAATGGGGAGAGGGTCTGTGACTTTTAGTCTCTGAGATAGGTAATCATTGGCAGGTTTTGAATACAGAAAAGACACTATCTGATTCATGTTTTAACACCATCACTCTGGCTCCTGTGTTGAAAACATACTAAAAGGGGACAAGGATGCACTCAAGGAAACCAGTTTTGGGCTATTGTGGTAATACACATGCGAGGTGGTGGTGATAGTGAGAAGTGGTCAGATTCTGGTTCTACTTTAAAGGTAGAAACAAGCTCTACTGAAAGATTGGGCCTTGGGTATGAGGGAAAGAGACTGTACTGTGACCTAAGCAATTGTCAGAATTCAGTTTAGATTTATTATGCTGAGGGAAGTATGAGAAGGCGCCTTTTTTTTTTTTAACGTTTGGAGGTGGGGCGGGGTGGGGATGGGCAGTAATATAGTGAGTAACAGTGTGTGTGGGTGGGGGCGGGAATCAACCTTTCAGTTTTGGACATGATAATCTTGAAATGTCTATTGCACATCCAAGCGCAGTAGTTGGTGTTCAGAGCAGAGGTTTGGACAGGAAAGAGGATAGATCATTGGTTCTTTCACAAATAATTAGTGAAAATCTGTCCTATGCTAGGTCCTATTCTAAGTCCTATTCTAGGCTCTGGAGATACTTGTGAGAAAACAGACAAAGCTCCTCCTAACTTCATGTGTAATAGAGATACGGGTTTTATAAACAAGTCAGCAATCAAGCGCATTAATGAGATGGACACGGTGTACAATTGCTTGTATTTATATGTTTGTGTATTTATTTATTTGTTTATTTGCTATGGTTGTTTTCAGTATTGGGAGTACTGCAAGAGCCAGAAGACTAGCGGTGCGACCTAGGAAAACCTCCCTCTTCCGACCGGTGGCAGCCAGGTATCCCCGCCCCAATGCGGGCCAGATTTCTAGCGCAGCCGACCGGCAGGATTGCGCAGGCGCGGCCTCAGTCTGGCGTCCTAGGCGACGACTCCGAAAGCCTCGGCGCAGGCGTAATTCAGGAGGCCGAGGGAGCGTGAGGCCGGGGATGAGGCGGGGCGAGCTCGGAGTGCGCTTGCGCACTGCCTGCTCTCGCCCGAGGAGCCGCAGTCTCGAGAGCGCCAAGGCGGTGTTTCGGTAGTCGCTGGCAAACCTCTCCCGCGAACCCGGCCCCGTTGGACTGCGCCCAGGGCGGGGACCTCCGCCGGGCACAGGAGGGAGCCACGATGCCGGTGAGGAGAGTCGCTCAGTGGCTGGGGTTCCTCATCCCAGCGGCCTGGCTCGGGGGCGCGGCCGTTGCCATGGAGGCGCGGATCAGGCAGGCGGCCGGGGTGGGGCGGGGCAGGGTCCGGCTCTGCGGGCCCGAGCGGTTGGGTAGCCTGGGGGGTGGGCTCCGTGGCCCGCGAGGTTCCAGCCGGTCCTGGGAGGGGCCCCGGACAGGCCCTGCCGCCTTCGCGGGTGCTGCATCCCGCAGGGCCTGCGCTGCTTGACATAAAGGCACAGCGCCAGAGGATGCGCTCTCGCTCCCAGCCCTGCTAGCTGAGTAGGGCGTCTGGGAGCGGCCGCAGGGGGTCGGCTTTGGATGCTCCGCACCTGGTGGGATCTGTACGCCGCGCAGCCGACCCTTGGGTGGTAGCAGAACGAGAGCTGCTTGCTTTTACTCCAGCCCTGGACTCGAGCTGTCATTTCTCTCGTGGTACTTTAGCTCACAGTGCAGAATGTAACCCGTAGGTGTCTTTGTGTGTGAGGGGGGTGGGGGGGTGGTATGTTTGTCTTGTAGGATTTCACAGAGTGTTACCGTACACTTAACAGGGGGCGTCCTAAGTCCCATATAGGGTCATGGAGAACACGTGGGCTTTGGTCGGTTTTCTACTGGTTGCGAGACCTGGGACAATTATTTAATCTTTCTGGGTCCTTAGTTCCCACATAATTAAACTGTTTCTCATGGGATTTTATCAGGATGAAATAAGGTAATGCACAGCGGAATTGAAGGACAGTGCTTGACATTTAGCATTAAATGCCCAATATTTGTTCCGTGTCGTTGCTTTCAAATTACTGGTTCCCATTCAGCTGATATCAGGCATCAACCACATGTTAGGCACTGGAGGCAAAATACTGAGCAAAACCAGCCAGGTTCTTGAACTTGGGAAGACAGAAGCTTGCCTTCATGGCCAGAGGTGAAAGTCATGTTGATAGACAAGATGCTTATTCATGAAGCGAATGGGTGGCATGTAATAGGAAGTAGATTCTAGTGAATTGTGAAGTGTTCCCATGTAGGAGGAATGCTGGCCTACAGACGTCAGATCATCTTTTCTTTTTTCAAGAGAATATAGAAATTGTTATTTTTACGAAATTTCTCTATTTTTTAAAAATTTTAACAACTAATTCAAAAATATTCTTAAGTGCTATGAGCCAAATAAAAGATAAATGTTTTTTATATAACCAGTTGGCAACCTTTGGTGTAGACAGATAGGACAGACATTAATCAAATAAGGAGCAAACAAAAGCAGAATTGAAACTGGTGGTAGAACAAAAGCAGAATTGAAACTGGTGGTAGATGATGGAGGGAGAAGGGTGCTCTCAGGGCCTATACCAGAATTTGACCTAGTTAGGGAAGTCGTCCCAAGTGAAGTGGCTGTTTTGCTGAGACCTGAGAATAAGTGAAGGGGAGAGTGAGGAATGTTCTAGGCAGGAGGAACAGCACATGGAGAGGCCTGTGGTAAGAAAGGGCATGGTGACAAGAAAAGGCTTAAAAAAAGCTAATGGGGCAGTGGCTAGGAAAGCCAAGCAGGGTGGCTTGGGAAATAAGGCTGGACAAGTAGACATGGGCCAGAGCCAGGTCTTCCAGACCACCTTAAGGATTGTGATTTTTATCCTGAGATCTGTGGGAAACAATGGGTTTAAGTAAGGGAGCAACATGATTAAATTTTTATTGAGGCTGACTGCTCTGTAGAGAACAGACTGTAGGAGAACCTAACTAGATGCCGGTGTCCAGTTTAGGGTAGGATCATGGTGACCTAGACTTAGGTGGTGAAAGCAGAGATGGGGAGAAGTGTGTTGTATTGATACTGTTCAGCTAAACTATTGAACTTCACTTCAGTGACAGGATTGTATTTTTTTAATTGAAGTATAATTGACATATAACACAATAATTTCATCTGTACAACATGATTTGATATTTGTGTACCTTGTGAAATAATCCCCACAGTGAGTCTAGTGACCATTCATCACCATTGAGTTACAACATTTTTTTCTTATGATGAACAATTTCAAGATATATTCTTTTAGCAACTTCCAAATATGCAGCGGTGTACTACTGACTATAGTCACCATACTGTATATTATTTATACATGACTTATTTTATAACTGGAGATTTGTACCTTTGATCTCTTTCACCCATTTTGTCCACCTCTGCACTCCACTGCCCTCTGGCAACCACCAGTCTGTTCCCTGTGACTTTTGTTTTGTTTGTTCCTCTGTTTTGTTTTTTAGATTCCACATGTAAGTGTCTTTGCTTAGGGTTATATTTTAACATAGATAGTTAATCATAAAATTTCAAAAATTGAAACTTTACATATGCAGATGTTCATAAGGTTAGAGGGATACTAAAACATTTCTCTCTGCCATTGGACTTTGTTTGCTGCGTTTCATTTCATGTTGTCTTCTATAGAGAAGAAAGGCTACATATGTTACATGGTAAGAAACATTTTACTGATGCATTGTAGAAAATAAAACTCAAAGTCTCAGGGGAACACAGGACCTACCACTATATTCTTGATTAAAGTTGTTAACCATGTTCACATGTATTTTCCTTCAGGCAGGAAACTCAGAGGAAGTCAGGGACTTTTGTGGAGAAAGACAGTCCATAATATACTGATTCATTTTCTGCTTGAACAGCATTTATTTACTATAAATGTAAATTAGGCTTTCTTACTCATTTGTATCGTAAAAGAAACTATTTGCCTTTTCATATCATTTAATAAGCCTTTCCTATAGAGCTGTAAGATCTGTAATTGCATTTAACAAATATTTGTGGAGTGCTTAATATGTGCAAGGCACTGGGATGGCACAGTAGCCTTTTTCAAATTTGAAATTTAATTTGCTGAAGGTAAAAGTAAATGTTCTTTCCATTATTTGTGAATATTTTCTCCACCAGATCAATAAATCAGAGAAGCCTGAAAGCTGTGATAATGTGAAGGTGGTTGTTAGGTGCCGGCCCCTCAACGAGAGAGAGAAATCAATGTGCTATAAACAGGCTGTCAGTGTGGATGAGATGAGGGGAACTATTACTGTACATAAGACTGATTCTTCCAACGAACCTCCAAAGACATTTACTTTTGATACTGTTTTTGGACCAGAGAGTAAACAACTTGATGTTTATAACTTAACTGCCAGACCTATTATTGATTCTGTTCTTGAAGGCTACAATGGTGAGTATATTGTTCACTGTTTCTTAACTTTATCAAGGTATTAATACCCTATAAATTCATCCATTGTAATTGTACACTTTGATGAGTTGTAGTAAATACATACAGTTGTGAAACCATCACCACAATCCAGTTTTATGACCCCTCAAAGTTCCTATATGTCCCTTTGCAGTCCCATCTCCAGTCATCCATTGACCTGCTTTTGTCTATAGTTCTGTCTTTGCTCGAAATTTCATGTAAATCAAATCATACCCTATCTCATCTTTCTAACCTGTTTTCTTTCAGTTGTATAATGTTGTTGAGGGTCAACCATGTTATTGTATGTATCAGTACTTTGTTCCTTTTTAATGCCGAATTGTATGAATATACCACCTTTTACGATCTTCAATGAAAATCTGGATTGTTCCAATTTTGGGGCAATTATATATAGTCCTGCTATGAACAACATTCTTTTATAGAAAGTTCTTTGTGCAAATAAGTTATAAAGTTTCTCTTGGGTAGATACCTAGAAGTAGAATTGGTGGGTCATATGGTTAATGTGTATTTATCTTTTGAAGAAATTGCCAAACTATTTTCCAAAGTGGTGACTATTAATTTTTTTCCCCACCAGGGTGTTAGGAGGGTTCTTTTAGTTCCTTCACATTCTCACCAACATTTAGATTGTCAGTCTTTTTAATGACAGCCGTTCTAGAGGATCTGTAATAGTATCTTATTGTTTTAACTTACATTTCCATAACAGTGTTGAGCATTTAATCACGTACGTATTAGCCCTTTGTATATCTTTTAAAATATTTTACCCTCTGGGGCGCCTGGGTGGCTCAGTCATTAAGCGTCTGCCTTCGGCTCAGGTCATGATCCCAGGGTCCTGGAATCGAGCCCCGCATCGGGCTCCCTGCTCTGCGGGAAGCCTGCTTCTCCCTCTCCCACTCCCCCTGCTTGTGTTCCCTCTCTCACTGTGTCTCTCTCTATCAAATAAATAAGTAAAGTCTTTTAAAAAAACAATTTACCCTCTTTTCAGTTTCATTGCCTATGTTATTGAGTCATGCTTTTTATACATTCTGGATTCAAATATTTTGATCAGATAAGTGATTTGGAAATATGTTCGTCCAGTATGTGGCTTGTATTTTCATTTTTTAAATGGTGTCTTTTGAAGAGAAAAGATTTTGAGTTTTGATTAAGTCCAGTTTATCATTTTTTTTCTTTTATCATCATGCTTTCATTGACATAGGCAGGAAATATTTGCTGAACCCAAGACCAAAAAGATTTTCTCTTATGTTTTTATCCAGAAGTTGTAAACATTGTATGTCTTACAGTTTGGTCTGTGATTCATTTTGAGTTAATTTTTATTAAGGGTGTAAGTTCTTTGCCTTTTATTTCCCCCCTTCTGACCTATGGATATCCAGTTGTTGCAGCACCATTCGTTAAGACTATCCTTTCCCTATTGAATAAACTTGGTGCTCTTGTCAAAAATCAACAGCCTACAGTTGCGTGGGTTTATTTCTGGATTGTCTATTCTGTTCCATGTCTATCCTGTTTTTATTACTGTAGGTTTATATGTTGGAATTAGGTAGTGTCTGTTCTCTGGCTTTATTATTCTTTTTCAAAATTGTTTTGGCTTTTCTGGATCCTTTGCATTTTCACATAAATTTTAGAATTACCTTGTCACTTTCCACAAAACAAAAAACAAAAACAAAAAACCTACTGGGATTTTGGTAGGGATTGTGTTGAATTGTTATTCTGACAATATTGAGTCTTCTAATCCAGAACATGGCATCTCTCTTCATTTATTTATATCTTGTTTAATTTCTCTCATCAGCATTTTGTTGTAGTTTTTAATGTACAGGTCTTGTCCTTGCTTTGATAAATTTATTCCTAAGTATTTTTTTTACCTGTTTCCTTTTTTTTTTTTTTATAGATTTTATTTACTCATTCATGAGAGAGGCAGAGGGAGAAGCAGGCGCCCTGCAGAGCAGGGAGCCCGATGTGGGACTCGATCCCAGAACTCTGGGATCATGACCTGTGCCAAAGGCAGATGCTTAACTAACTGAGCTACCCAGGCACCCTCCTTTTTCTTTAAAGATTTTTATTTATTTGTTAGAGAGAGAGGCAGAGAGCATGCACGCGCACACAAGCAGGGGAAGGGGCAGAAGGAGAGGGAGAAGCAGACTCCCCTGCTGAGCAGGGAGCCCGATGGAGGGCTTGATCCCAGGACTCCGGGATCATGACCTGAGCCGAAGGCAGACGCTTAATCGACTGAGCCCCCCAGGTGCCCTACCTCTTCCTTTTTTAAATTTAAATTCTAGTTAACATACAGTGTATTCCTAAGTGTTTTTGATGCTTTTGTGAATACAATTATTATTATAATTTCATTCTTAGAATTGTGTATTTTTGATACATAGAAGTGCAGTTGATTATTTTAGTAGTCGTAGAATTCACTACTTTAACCATTTTACAATATACAAGTCAGGGGTTTTAGTACCTTCATAGTGTTCTGTAACTGTCACTGTTATCTGTTTCCAGAACATCTCCATCACCCCCAAAAGAAACTGTGTATCTATTAGCAGTTACTCCCAGTTTTGCTCCCTCCTGCCCTGGCAACTATGTATTTACTTTTTTTTTTTTTTTTTTTTAAGATTTTATTTATTTATTAATGAGAGACAGAGAGAGAGAGAGAGAGAGAGAGAGAGAGAGAGAGAGAGAGAGGCAGAGGGAGAAGCAGGCTCCCTCAGAGCGGGGAGCCCGATGTGGGACTCGATTCCAGGACCCTGGGATCATGACCTGAGCTGAAGGCAGACGCTTAACCATCTGAGCCACCCAGGCGCCCATGTATTTACTTTCTATGTGTATGAGTTTGCCTGTTCTGGACATTTCATTTAATAGAATCATATGCTATACAGTCTTTTTTTTTTTTTTTTTTGCTATACAGTCTTTTATGTATGCCTTTTTTTACTTGGTATAATGTTTTCAGTGTTCTTTTACATTATAGTATGTATCAGGACTGCATTTTTTTTTTTTAAGATTTTATCTGAGAGAGAGCACAAGCAGGGGGGAGGAGCAGAGGGAGAGGGAGAAGCAGAGGCCCTGCTCAGCAGGGAGCCTGATGTGGGGCTCCATCCCAGGACCCCAGGATCATGACCCCAGCCGAAGGCAGAGGCTTAACCAACTGAGCCACCCAGGTGCCCCAGGACCGCATCTTTTAATGGTCAATTAATTCCCTAGGATTTTCTTTTCTTTTCTTTTTTTTTTTTTAAGATTTTATTTATTTATTTGACAGAGAGACAGGGAGAGAGGGAACCAAGCAGGGGGAGTGGGAGAGGGAGAAGCAGGCCCCCCGCCGAACAGGGAGCCCTGTGTGGGGCTTGATCCCAGGACTCTGGGACCATGACCTGAGCTGAAAGCAGATGCCTAACGACTGAGCCACCCAGGCGCCCCTAGGGTTTCCTATATACAAGAGTGTGTTACCTTCAAATAGAGATAGTACAATTTCTTTCTTTCCCATCTTTTTGTTACCTGAATTGCACTGGCTAGAACCTCCAGTACAGTGTTGAATACGAGTGGTGAGAATGGACATTTTTGTTTTGTTCCAGATCTTAGGGAGAAAGCATTCACTGTTTTACCAGTAAGGATAATGTTATCTATAGATATTTATCTGATTAAGTTCCCCTCTGTTCTTGGTTTGTCCTCCCGCCCCCACCGTAGGAATGGATTTTGGATCTTGTCAAATGCATTTTTTTCTGCACCTGTTGATGAAATCATCTTTTTTATTTAATTTGTTAATATTTTCGGTTACATTGATTGTAAATGTGAAACCAGTCACACCACTTGGTTATGGTATATTATTCTTTTGTATGTTGTTAGATTTGATATGCTAAAATTTTGTTTAAACTTTTTTGTCTATGTTCAGGAGAGATATAGTAGTTTTCTTGTAATGTCTTTGTCTGGTTTTGGTATCAGGATAATGCTAATTTCATAGAATGAGTTGGAAAGTATTCCCTCCTTTTTAATCATATGGAAAAATTTGTCCAGAATTAGTATTATATGTTCCCTAAGTGTTTGGTAGAATTTACCAGTGAAGCCAACTGGGCCTGGAGTATTTTTTTGTGAGAAGGTTTTTAAAGATTTAATGTCTTTAATAATATAGGGGTTTTTGAGTTACTTTTCTTTTAGTGAGCTCTGGAAGTTTACTCTCAATGGAATTTGTCTCTTTCATCTAAGTTTTTGAATTTATTGGGAAAAAGTTGTTTATATCAATCCTCTATTTTTCCTTTGTTAGAATGTGGTGATGAAATCTTTCTCTGCTATTGGTATATGTTATTTGTGTCATCTCTTTTTCTTGTGGTTAGTCTGGCAGAGGACTAATAAAGTAGGAGTAGGTTCTCCTACTTCCTCTTTTTCTGCTTATGGTGGAAGCTGAGGTCATTGTTTTGAGACCTTCCTAACTTTCTAATACGGAGATTTAATTCTATGAATTACCCCTTAAGTACTGCTTTAGTGGCGTTGTACAGATTTTGACATACTGTGTTTTCATTTTCATGCAGTGCAAGGTACTTTCTCCCTTCCCACTTGATTTCTTCTTTGATCCTTGGGTTATTTAGAAATGTGTTAATTTCCAGATAATTTGAGATTTTCCAGAAATCTTTCTGTTACTGATGTCTAGTTTAATCCCGTTTTAGTCAGAGAACATACTATGTAAAACTTGAATCTTTTGAAATTAGAGACTTGTTTATGACCCAGAATAAGTTTATTATTAAATGTTTGTACATTCTTGAAAAGACTATGTATTTTGCTGTTGTTGGATAGAGCATTCTATCTATAAATGTTCATTACATCAATTTGCTTGATAGTATCATTCAAATTTTCTACTTAATTATTTTCTGTTTTGTCTATCGAGTACTGACACGGGTATTGAATTCTCTTACAATATTTTTGTATTTGCCTCTTCCTTTCAGTTCTATCACTTTTTATTTGATGTATTTTGAAACCCTGTGAGTAGGTGCATAAAT